TCACTAAATGAAAAACATACAATGGAGATATGTATAATACTCAAATTGGATTATACTTTAAAGTGATATACACTTTTTAAAATTCTCATAAATCTTATGTAGATGTATGCTCTTATTGCTCTTGTGAGACAAATTGTACACATCCCTTTTGGAATAGAATCGAATTATCTTTTATTTTCGTCGCATTTACTTTTCAGTGCCACTGGCGCGGTATTATTGAGTCTGGGATCAGTCTTACTATGGGCGGTGATACGTTCCATAGTCCCGCCAAGTCCAGTCTGCTGTACGTTAGCTGGCATCGGCACTGGAGTGGCGTTTTTGAAAGTCGGCTCCAGTTATCTCGAATTTGTGGACGGGCAAATAGCGAAAAAGTAGGCTGTTCCTATATGCTTTCTGTTCTTTTCTTTCCCATCTTGGATTTTTATCTCGAATTGTTGCGGAATGAAATTGTACTACGTCGAGCAAGGAATACGGCACTTTATATCTGTTCATTTTGAACGCGACTCCCAAATCGACAAGTCTTGTGGAATTTTCGTTTCATGCGACAGGAGATTACGGAGAGCGATTCAATACTTGATTCATCGGATTCCTGAAATTTTTTCGAGTGCAAATTATGTGTAAGTAATATTTTTTCCATCGCGAGTTTTATATACGCGCGTTTTTTTTTTTCAAAATAAAAAGACAGAATAGAGATACGAATGGATACTCGAGTGCTTTCCATTTGATAGCATAAATCGACATAAATATCGTTTTGTCTTTTTTACCTATTGAACGTAAAAAAAAATAGAAGAATGATGCCTGTGTCGATTTGTATCATTAAATGGAAAGCACTCGTCGTATTAATTCCAAAAATGTGAATTGTCGTATCGCACAAAAATGTGATATCGGCGATTCTAACTTGAAGAAAGCTTTACCTGGCAGCGAAGTGTTCATAAACAGTCGTGCGCTTTTTCTCTTCGCCCGTCATTTACGCATCGCCGACATGATAAACGGCATTTTATAAATTGTTCCTTAAGATATATATTGCACGCACTTTGGGAACTCAAACGAGACCCTCATAAGCTCGTTTATGGAAACCAGGAAGTATGAGCATCGTATGTTTATCGACAACGTGTTTTGTAAGCTGCATAAGAATGCAATCATCATATGTAGATAACTGTCACCATAAATATATGAATATACGAATTGTGACACGATAGAAAAAAAAAAGAATGAAACATACGAATGATCTCCTCCCCTGCCTGAAATCCATCGACATCTATTTTGCATTTTTATTCTAAACTAACAATAACTGTATGTATACATTGTTAATATTTAAATTTTTATACATAATATTACGTTGTGCTATAAAATTCTAACAATAACAATATGGTCAATGAGGCAAAAACATTTTTTGCTATTACACTACATTACCTTGGGAATTTAAAATTTATCACTTCATTGCGTAAATGTGCACACAGAAAAATAATTTGCTAAGAAAAGTAAAAAATGACTCAATTTACTTTTTTCTTCTAAGTGACAGTTATCTTTACAAAATTAATAATCTTAGAACATAAAATTTAAAATATACTTATTACTGCAAAAACTTATGTATTTAAAATAACTTTTCTTTTGAAGAATATTATAAAGTATTATCGTAGAAGCGATATAATGTAATAAGCAAATTTGTTTTAATTGAATAACTATTATTGAAGTATAAATCTCTCTTATTAGATTCAGAATACATTTTGAATAAATTTGATACTTATGATGAACTTATGCTAGATTTGCGGATATATAAAACAATTGTAAAACAAATAATTAATTTTTAAATACAGTATATATTTTTCTGTGTGTAGAAAATATCTAAATGACGCATAATGGTTTAAAAAATGAACTCTCAGTCGTTCAATAATTGAAATAACTCGAAAGTGTATGCAACAATTGAAAATTTGTTAGAACTTGTATTCTTGTTGTCCCGCTGAAACGCGTCTGTTTCTTTAAAACTATTATCATTTATTTACGCGTGCTAATGCACTCTCGTATGATTGTAGCGAGCATCGAACCAGATAAAAGGGGATCTCAAAGTAATACAAATAAAAGCAGAATGACTGGCCGCGATACCATACTTTGTACGAAGCGCGAGTTAATCTCACTGTCGTTCGATTTTCAATGTTCGTTGCTTGCAAATAACGCGAGAAAATTCTCATTAAAGTTCGAATTAATTAAACTTATTTATGATGATAGATAAATAAAATTGTGTAAGTATCGCTTTCAAGATCCCTTGAGAAGCTCATGATACGAATTTTGAGATCGTTCTTTGATCATGAAGGATTAAATCAAACGCGATTAATTTACAGAGACTCGAATCTTGATGTCTCATTCTGCGCAACGCATTACGATACGTCCCCTATAATCGCAAAAATACGATAATTTATCTTGTTAAGACAACGCTCCGTATGTCGAGAATTGCAGACGGAGACATGCGGGAGCTTTTTATGAAGGGTCTATGTATAGGGTGTCCAAGAAATTTATTCTTTTATTTAAACAAAATTTTTAAATAAGAGAAAGAATTCTATTTTCGGAGCGGATTTTGATCCTTAATAATTTGTATATGAATATATTATTAGGTAAGCATTAAGCTCGACAGAATAGATTTAAGCTTCGACAGAATAGATTTCTCTCTCTTGTTTTTTATTTATTTTTTATTAGTCTAATTTCTACTTATAAAAGTATTGTGATAGCGTTTTAGCAAACGATCGAAAATAAAGAATGACTTTTTGGGAACTAGGCTGAACAGATAAAACTTTACTTTTTTTTTACTTTAGAAGACAGGAACACCCTATGTAATCGCAAACATTGGTCGATCGCTGCACGGTGCAGTGTGCTTCTTCGCGTGTCTTGTTCGCGGCCGCTATTGTTTCGTCGCACTACAATAATGACACGACATGCTTTCCAACAATAATCGCTCTCAACGCGAAATCCAGATGACGTTTACGAAAGCGTTTTTACCTCGTAGAGAGTGTTTGAAAAGCGTATTTTATTTGCGCTTTTCAAGCGATTTATTTTACAATCACTTTCCAATCGCGAGGATAAACTCTCACTAGTCTTGAAATAATATGTAGTCTCAAATATTCCTTTTTAATGTAAAAATAATAAACATTTTATTAATTTTTTTACAAAAATATAAGGAAAGGTAAAATTTAGGAAATTACTATATTATTAGAAAGATCTGCTAAAAAACTTCGCATTTCCCATTAGGCATAAAAAATATGACACAGTTGTAAAAAATATCTGTGGTAATTTATTAAAAATTCTTACTATAAATGCGCCTGTTTGGATTCGTTGAATAATTAGAAAATTGATTGGCTCTCGCCATAACGAAAAGCTCAGCATCCTTTTTTTTGTTTATTGCTATCAAGAATTATTTAAACTCTGGAGAACGTCTTCATGTCCTATCAATAAATACTTTAGATACTAGAGTATCTAGGTCTTGAAGGCACTTAAATAATCATGCACTACGGATTAATTTATTCTCTATTACGTAATCTAAAAAAATGCTAAATGATAAAAAAAAATGCGAAAAGAGTCCCCTGAGTAAAGGTATTGTTGCTATCTCGAGAGCTTCGAGTTTCCCGAGAGATCTTTGTTACGTTGAAATCTCTTGCCGAAGAGAATTCAGTCGTAGAAATTGGAACTTACGGGAACCCAAAGATCGGTCCCCTAACTGTGCTGAGGATATAATGGACTGGTCTCCTTTATATTATTCCTTTGTATCATCGTCGACGGCGTCGTCGAGGATGAGAGGGCATTGGTGAGGACCTCGGCGATGCTGTCGGTTACTTTGTCGATCATCCCTGTGACTACGTCGTGCTTGTGATTGTGATCATGATCATGATCATGTTCTTCTTCTATCTCCGTATGGTTAGACGAATGGCAATCGTGCGAGTGTCCATGGCTACCATGCGAATGTCCGTGGCTACTGCCATCATGTGAGTGGGAATGGGCAGCTGTAGACAGAAAGCGTAGATGTTCACGCGATTTTTAAAGCACGCGAGGGGATCCGTAAAAAGAACTAGCAATTCATTTTGCGTAAATATTTCTCCAATTGCGGAGATGAATTAGAATAATTGAACTATTTGCGTTCACATATGTACTGAATTTTGTAAAATTTTCATAAGTTAGAAGAGGTAGATTCTTTCTATTTCTTTTTCTTTGTTTTAATTTCATTTGTTATTAATTACATTATTAGAAGAAGAAATAATTTTATTTTAAAATCTCGATTTTTTAAATAAGTTATTTAACTCTTCGTTATTTGACTCTGTTAATACATTTTCTGAATTTATTTTAACACGTTTTTATAAGATAATTTGGTAACAGTAAGAGATTAGTTTTTATTAGCTTAACAGAAGGATAATTCGTCGTAAAATCACAGTAATGTTTAACGTTAGGTTCAAGATTTTATTCATTATTGGAGCTAATAACAATGAATTATAAAATTTCCTTTGAAATGTTATATTTCGCACAAAGTTATATCATAACTTGAGCGTGTGTGTGTTAAGCATCGTTTCCATGTCATCGCTCATCGAGCCCTCCGTAATTAATTCTGCGCGCGCGCGCGCGCGCGTGTGTGTGTGTGTGTGTTTATACACATACGAAATTCTCTAAACGGCACTCAAACACTTGACGGCAATTTTGTCATCACGAAATACGTCAAATGGTTGAGAAAGCTGTCGAAAGTCGGTCGGATCGTCCATCGACCTATTCGTCCTGGGTCATTGCCATGGGTGGAGAGAAAGCCTTGGGACTATAACCAGATCCCTTATGAGATCAAGATTTATTTGTCTGTTGTCAGCATGACAGTGTTCATACGTCATTCCAGCACTACACGTGAAATCCGTGTGTGCCTTGGAAGAAGTGGGTTGTTTCCGTATGCAATTTGCCAATCATGTGGCAGCCGACGCGACTTGTGTAAAAGTTCATGTTTCCCACAGACACGAGTAAGAGTAACGAGCTCATATTTTATGTAGGATAAATGCTCCAATAAACCATTTAATGAATAGAAAGCATATAATTTCTTTGTATTATAATATTTTGTTTCTTATACGTATAACATCATAAAATATCCGAATTAATAAATACTTCATATGCGCTATTTTATCACATTTTAATAGAAAAATTATACTATATTAATATTCCAAAAACCCGTATTAGATTAGAGATTGAAATTGAAACTGAATTTGACCATAGCAAAGTTTAAACTTGAGATTGGTTTTTTTTCTTCTGATTTGTTAATTTCAATCTCAACCTCAATATCTACTCTAACACGGGTTTTAGACTTTTTTTCATTTATGCACTTTTATGATGTTGTTTCACAAGATTAAGATTTGTTAATGCATCTAGTTTCTTGCGTCAGCAAGAAAACTTGTTCAGTTTTAGAATTGAAGCGGAACATTGCACCTACGATATCTCTCGATTTCGCGAATCTTTCGTATTCTTGCGAGAAGGTCAAGATGCAATTAAGATTGCGTAACAGATGACATGTGCAGAGATATTATGCTCCATCTCTCCCACCTTTCTTGACGAAATGACATTCATGCAATTTCTTTAATGTTATTGGATGCAAAGTAATAATATATACCGCACGCGTGCAAATAACCGGTCACGTCAGTGATATTATAATTAAATCTCGACTTTGTCGGAAACAGTGTTAAGAATTAATGGAATGTGCTACGTAAGCGAGAATGTTCTTATAAGATCTTTGCTTTTCCTACTTCAATTCAACCCAGACTATTCAGTTAAAAATGTTGTTCAGCTGCTTATTATCTAATGTTTAAAAATATTAGATGCTAAATAAATATTTAATACAACATTTACAATTGAATAGTCAGAGTCAGAAATCTGGAATAGAAGAAGCAGAGTCTCTTAAAAATTCTCTCATAGAAATTCTCACTTAGCAACTTATTTCATTAATTCCGAACATTTTCGACAGAGTCGAGATTTAATTTTTAAAAGTGGAGGCGAATGCTCTTGATTATGAAAAAAAGAATGAAATAATTTTAAAGTGAATTTGAATTAGAAATATTTCACGATTAGCACGAATTATTTTTTGCTTCTGCTGGCATTATGAATCCGTCAATTTTATTCAGTCACTAACTGTATTCTACTGGAATCATGATAAAGTGGCATAAACTATCAGAAATAAACAGCTGTTATCGACTGGTATTCTGCGTCAACAAATAACATAATTTAATTCTACAGACTCGTATATACATGTACATATATACATATCTGCCTGATTCGTATATCAATTTTTTTTTTTAACAAATATCTAAACGTCTAGATAAGATTTATTTTCGCAAATTCTGAACAAACGAGCATTGCACGCCACGAAAATTTCTATGACGGGAGGAGGAACTCTGCTTCTCTTATTCCAATTTGCCCTGACCCTGACTTTTCAGCTTGTAGTTCGTCGATTTAAGACAAATCGATAGATTAGATAAGTAGCGAAGAACCAACACGTGAAGTGTATCAAGGACGTACCTGTAATAGGTTTGCACTGAGACGTGCCATTCTGAAAATTTTAATTGCAAGGATATCGAATATCCTTGATGGAACAATCACGATGGGTAATTCTAAAAATTTTAATTGCAACTCATACAACACAGGAGCTTGTAGCAACATTACTGTAATGTTTGTAATGTTACTGTAATATTGCTGGAACGTTGCAATTTTACTGCAAACTTCTGTACTGTATATAAAGATGAAACTGATCGAATTGACAGTAATTTACTCGATATATTACGGTAAATTAATCAATAATTTTTGGAACCTGGTAAAATGGTAATTTAAAAAAATGATAAAAATAAAATAATTTGATGTAAAGCATTTAGCTATTAAGTTAAAAACGCTTTATTTAACTCATATTTTCATTTTGATAACACATATTGCCAGTATGTTATATCTTTTTTTAATTCTAGAATTAGAAAAAGTTAGAGATTAAGTTAAATTGAAATTAAAGTTAAATCTTACATTTCTGAAATCAGATCTGAATGTCTCTATTATATGATTACCTAAAGATAACAAATTACCAAAAGATTCATCAATGATATTCATTTATAAATATTTTTGATAATTTTTAATCTTTAGAGAACTATAATGACACGGACTATATTGAAAACGGACTTTAGCATCGATTTTACATTTAGATTTAGCGAATGATTCTGTTATTATTTTATCAGCGATTTATTTCAGCGATCTCAGCGAATCTCAGCGTTTCTCGGTGAGAATATTAGAAAAATATTGTTTTATCTTATGCATCAATATGAAAAACGTAAATAAGATCTAGTTGCATAAAACTATAAAAAACAACAAATTTTATCAAAATTACTAAATTTTATTGCAATTTTATCCTAAGTAATTATCAAATTAAATTTATTGTAAACTTTACTTTTACATCTCTAGACAATCGATAACATTTGGTGAGTTTCGTTCCGATTAAATTACATTTAGATTTTGTCAATAGTCCTGTTATTTTATTAATGATTCTTAGAAGAATGTTTTATTTTACACATAAGTGGAAATATAGTTCTATTTGTACATAAAACTATAAAGACAATAAATTTTACCAAAATTACCAATAAGTTATCATTTTTACCGTAATTTTACCGTAAGAATTTTTGCAATAAATACGGTGAACGCTAAAGTCACATTATCCTTTTCTAAATTAGTTGTTAAGAAGAAAATAACTGACTTTAGCATTCATCTTATCTGGATAAATGGTATTGCAAAAACTCCCTGTATTGTTGAATTGAATTTAACGATGGGAATAATTTTACATGGGAAGAATACTAAAATGTATTCTAAAATGTATGTAAAATACTCTACCTGTACATAAGAAGAATATTAAATATCTAAATTGAGAAGCCCCGAGCGATTTACTTTATTGACATATTTACCTAGTAAAGATTATAGATTCTGAATCGATAATTTGCATATGAAATATTATACATTAGTCTGAAGACAACCAGGAAAAATGTCTGAATTAGTCAAGATAAAACTGGTCTCTGTGAGACCAGTAATAATGCGTTCGTACGCAAATTCGCGTCGAGGTAGTTGAGAAAGAGATAGTCCTTCCGGTGAATCCTAATGGAGCGGGGATAAACTTTCACCATACAATAATAAATTTGTGCGATTTCCCGTTTTGACACGGGAAAATTTACCGGTCACGCGAAAAGCAGAAAGGAAACGGAAACGCGCAGTAAGCGCCGCTACGAAGGACATCGTTAGACTGACGATAATACATTTATCCGACATCAGCGGTGTGTTGTGTCGCGATACGCTCCGGTGCATTTTGGAGACGAGGGGAATTCCCTCGTCTTCCGGGAAACGAACTCACTGGCGATCTGTAGACCCAGCATCAGCGTGAAGCCAATAATGATTGCGACTAGCTGCAGCAAACCACTCTTCTCGTTTGCCCTCTCTCGCGCTAGCACCTCGAAGAATACCACATAAAGTAGGGTACCAGCCGCCATGCCCTGGAGTATGGTGGGTGTGGGTCCCAAATTATCGCTGTCGTTCTTGAAATGAGCGAGGACGAGTCCCACGGCGATCCCAATCGGTGTAACCATGGCAAAAATTAACAGATAGCCGAGGGTAGTCTTGGTCGACGCGCCGGCCACGTAGAGCTCCATTCCGACGCAGAAGGCGATTACCAGTTTGTGGGTCGCGATAGCAGCTGCCAGATATGCGACCGAACTGATAGATGGTTCCAGTCCCACCGCTAAACCTTCGAATATCGCGTGAAAAGATAACGCGAGCACAGTCAGTAGTCCTTGTATTGAGGTGTTTTGCATCGTGCCATGCTGATGATGATGGTCATGGGAATGATGATGATTGATCGAGTAGTTTAGTTCCGGAATTGCTAATTCTAGATCAGAATGCCTCCGAACAACCTTTTGTTCTTCGTTCGATAACGCGATAGGCAGGACGAATATAGCCGGCAGCACTTTGTCATCCTTGCCTGCTTGATCGCGAGAATCATGCTGGAGTTTCAGCCGGTTTGCCGGATCTTTACTGTCCTCGGCATCATTGATGTCTTTCCACGCGGTGGATTTGGTCGTCGTGGATACGGTGGTGATCGAGCCATTCGACATCACCGACGAACTTGATGGACCTGTTTGATTATTGTTGCATCTGCGCACCGACACTGTTCGGTAAAGTAATGCTTCCGAAGATTCCGGTTTGCCGGTAAGGGCGGCATGCACAGCTTCTTCGACCAAATAAACGAGGAAGAAACCACCGCAGAAAAGCAGCTCAGCCAGACCGAGGGAACCCAAATCGGGCAGTTGTTTATTCGACTGATGTGTCTCTACGCTAGCGCGAACTTCCGGTGCCAGATGTATGAACGTCGTGAACAGGAGCACACCGCCGCCGAAGCAGAGCAAGAGCGACGTCAAGAGACCCTGAAGACGATGCCGCGGTGCTTTGGAATCCGTTTTAGAATTTATATTCGCATTAAGTAGGGTGCTCGGATTATTAATTTCTATGGACTCTTCGTCCATTTTGAAATCAACTTTTTATGTAATATAAAATAAGTGATATTCATAAGAAGTTGTAATGATTTATTTAAAATTTATTTATCTTTACTGTTATAAGCAGATGCATATATATTTGCAGCTAAAAGAATCAAGATTAATTCCAAATTGATTCCAAATAGTCCAGAGAGTCTATAAATATCGATTGTAAAATACCGAGCATCCTAAGAGCAGCTACTCCGGATTACAATTAATATTGATCGATCGATTACCATTAAATGAGTTAGATCAACTATTATTAAATATTTTTTGCAAACACGACATCCCTATTTCTATTATAATATAATAATATAATCAAATATTATTCATTTCGACTTTGTGCCATTCTAGACATATTTAAGATTATTCGTACATTAACACATTATACAGTATTTGAAATCAGAATGAGCCATACATTTGACGAAGATAAAATGGAACATATTCAGGAATTAAAAATCGCTAAATTAAAAAACAATCTATATATAAGCAGATAGAATTAATAGATTCAAAGCTATCCACCGATCAAGAATATTCTACTGGATATCTTTGATTATATTCATTATTTTTTATTTGACCGAATGTGATCTCGTAACATCTGCAGCGAGTCGATTCGATTGTAAATGGCACAAAGACGAGCTTTCCGGAGATGCTGCGAGTGAATCAGGTGTCAATGACTAGGATTTCTGATCGTTTCTCGGACGTACTTGCTTATTCGCCGCGGAGGCCGAATCAACGTGTGGCGAGGAAGCGTCGGATGTCGAAGTGGACGTGGAAGTGCTAGAATTGGAAGACATCGCCTGGCGACGTTTCTGACGAAGTTGCTTCTTGGCTCTGTAACGTCCCACCATCAATGGCAGCGTTCCCAGTGCGAGGGAACCAAAGCCAAGACCGACCATTGCGCCGATCTTTGACATCAGAAGAATATTGGACGGATCTTGTCCGGACGTCGTGTTCTCCATTTCGTATGTTGTTGAATTAATATCGATAATAATATGATGAAGAAAGGAACTTCGATCTTTATTTTTTCTCTTCTTTTTTCTCGAGAGGATTTTATAATGCCAATAAGGTCGCTCACCGAAATGGTCACGTCAAGCACATGCGAACAAAATATCGGGAGTGAAATCCGCGCAAGACACCGACGTCGCGGTAGAATTAGAATTTATCTCGTCACCACTTCACTACTTCTCTCAATCGCGCGTTCCTGTCAACAACGGGATTCATTTCAATCCTGAACTTTTTATCGAGGATATTCCGTTCTCCAATTCATGAAGACTCTCTCGCGAATGAATAATCGAGACGTTCGCGCTGACTTACCCGGAACAAAACTTCGAACTGATCTCCGCTGATCAGTCGTATCTTATGATCTTAAACGAGGCGAACAGATTACAAACGGCGTAAAGCTCCACGCGCCGCGACGGCCGATCAGACACTACTCCGGTCTCGATGGAAACTCGGCTCGATCGGACCCCTCGGCCGCCGCCTCGTCGTCTTACATAGTCCGAACCGAACCGTTTCCTGCCCACTCCCGCGACCGCTACGCTTGTCCTTATCCAACGATCATTCGCTAGCATGCATACTCTTTCTGGCACCTGCACCACGACTGATCGTCTCTCATTCAGTGGCGTAAAGACCAACGGTCCCGTGGAGTTGCTCTCTTTCTTCTCATCGAAATGCACGCGAGGTCGATGGGGGGAAAAAAGAGAATGGAAATGTGCACGAACGGAAGTAAAACGAAGAGGAAGAAAAAAATGAAAAAAAAGGAAAAGAAGGTCAGGAGAGAAGGTAAAAGTGGAGAAAAAAAATAGGAAAGAAAGGATTTAAACGAAAAAAGAGAAAAGCAAAGGAGATAAAAAAAGAAAACAGAGAAAAGATAAAAGACGCTAAATTCCCTTTGTCTTTACGGCATAATTGTTGGGCGTGTTCAACAACTGTTACATCGTTGTAGTTATGTTGCTCCGAAGAAGCAACGCATGATATATTTTCCCTTCTTCGCGGACGATAGACGCGTTCGTGCGTGGGCGCGTGTACAGTGTGTACACACGTACACGCGTGAATGAAAGAAGTTCGTTGGCGACTCCGAGACGGTCGTGCAGGGACACGCGTGCAGATACAGGCTATTCCACGTTCGCGCTCATAGCGTCATAAATAACATTCGCATGGTTCGCACCGTGAATTAGACCGCAAAATAAATGAATCTGTCCTTGAGTAATACCGAGTATAACGAGAAGATTAAATAACGGAGTAGAGGAAAGAGAAGATCCTTAAAAAGTCAATCCTCTAGATTTCTCACAGAGAATTTGAGGTACAATTTTATAGAAACTAATAATTTCTCTTAAGCGAGAGAGATTCTTTTTTATAGCGTTGTGATATGGATGAGAAAATGTAAAAGTAAAGGCGGCACCATACTCGTCACTTTCAAAGCAAACGAATGAATTTAACGATGTGGACTATCGAAACGACTATCATGCCTCTGTGATTATTTATTGTCTCTATGATACTTTCACCCTTTTCGCGCGAAAAGCGAAAGGATAACACCACCGTGTTAGACGCTTCATTGAACATCGTCGAAAGCAGCCGTAAAATATTTCGTCTAATATAATAAAATCGAGATCGACGATAAACAATGTCATTTATCGTTATTTATATTGATAACAAAATATCACAATTTATAATCGCACCGTTTACTTTTTTATGTGATAGTTCAGATTTTTCTTCTATTTTTCGTGATTGAGTTATAAGTACACACTGTTAAATCTACAGTTTTCAAATTTCAAGTTTTCAAATTTAATCCAATGTGAGTCGCCACTGCTCTTATACTATAAATAAATCATTATTTTATTCTAAAACGGTAATTAAATTTGACTATAACACTATACTAGGTGAGCTTTTCACCAGAGACTGCAAAATATGTGGAAAAAATAAGCATTGTACGAAAAAAATGTTCCAAATAAATCCTCAATATTTTTGAGGGAGTTCTACCTCTTAGTCGCTTCCCACATCCTTCCTTTTCCTTCCCCCCTCTCTAGGGATGGAGCTGGGGATAACTTTGAAATCTTAAATGGGAACCCCTACTTTTTATTGCAGATTTGGATTCTACGTCCAAAAATATATCAATTTTTGTCTAAATTTTTTTTTTTCGATTCCTAATAGATGGCGCTGCATTCGGCGAAAATTGGTTAAAAAATAAAAAATAAAAAATTATTGTAGACATCTGTGATAATTCGAAAAACATATTTCAGACGAAGTTGCTTTCTTCAATGTAGCGTTATTGTGCAATAAAACATGATTAGGGGGATTCTCCTTGAAGAAGATAAAAGTTAACCAATTTTCTAGAATCAAAAAAAAAGTTTAGATAAAATGTGTTTTTGGACGTAGAATCCGAATAAAAAGTAGGGATTCTCATTTAAGATTTCAAAGTTACCCCCAGTCTCATCTCCAGGGAAAGGGGGAGGCGGGAAGCGGCTAACTTTTACGGAATAGAATTGCTCTCTCAAAAATATTGAGGATTTATTTAGAACATTTTTTCATATACATTGTTTATTTTTTCAGATATTTTGCAATCTCTGGTTAAAAAACTCAGTATAGTGTCAAATTGACACTGCATAATCAATTATAATCATCAAAATATAATTATTGTTTTAATATAAAATAATGATATAATTGAATAGACTCAGTGGCGACTTACATTAGGTTAAATTTGATACTATTTATAGATTTAAGTATATGAAGTATATGAAGCGTGAAGAATAACACGTGAGCAAAAAAATAATTTGCATGATTCATAAATAAGTAAACGTTGCAAATGGAAAGCTTTTTCGTGTCGAATATTTTTCTGGTTGTTGTCGAAAGGCGTGTGGAAAAAATTTTCACAAACGAAGAAAATCAAACGTTACGGGAATTGTGCCGCGTGAATCATCAGGCAGGATGTCCTTTGCATTTTGTGCCACATTCTCTTTCTCCCTCCACATCCCATTCTCTCTCTGCTATCATCTCTTATATGTACAGTTTGTACAATTTACAGTACACGTCGTATAGTGCATGTCATTTCGAATATTAACTTCGACAAAAGTGCATTCTCTTTTAAAACTTCAAACGTGTGTGCACACATACTTTTACACTGTGATAAGTTGGCTGTTGACCAACGACAATAATTGCTCACTAAGAATCGATAAGTGTCGGCTGTGTTGATGATCTTCGACCTCGGGTATATGTTTGAAGCATTCTCCTCGTTCGGTGTATTTAAAATTTTTATTTCACAGAATATTTCTTCGTTTTCTCTATTATTTAGATTTACGTGTTTTTATCTAATTAAAGCGTATTTTTTAATTCTTAAGATTTATGTAGATTTGGTTTGAAGAGAAGAAAAGATATTATATATTAATAAAGAAATATTCGCATTTATTGAAAATTATTTCAACTAGGGATTCGAAAACTAAACTGATTATTAATTACGTATTAACTAATCTTTTTTCAATCCTATCAATTATTTAAAAAAATTGAAGCACAACAATATAAACAGAATGATATTGAATGAGAGTAGTTTAGAAAAATAATACATGATAAACCATTAAATTAGTGCTTTATCATGTATTATTTTTGTAAACTATTCTTATTCAATAATGAGTGCTTTCCAATTAGTGATACGAGCATTGTTCTATCTTTCTTTATATTTAATAAGTAATATATTTAATAAGTAACAAAGATAGAACGACACTTGTCGGCATTTATCGACTTGTGTTACCAAAGCATCCATGAAAAGCATCCATCATTCTGTTTATTGCTGTCCTTCGATTTTTCGAAATATTGATGACGTTTGAAGAAATATTGCGCACTTTTAGTTGCAATATAGATAAATCGATAAATAAGTGAGACTCATCGACACAATATTCTTATCCATTAAAATTCTCAGTTCTTACATTTATTAGATACGAAGAACGCGTTTAACAGAGCGTAGAAATCGGATGACTTATAGTGCTAACTATTCCAATTCCTATGCGCTATCAACAAGAGATGCAAAACATCGCTGTGCGTTAGCACAAAATAAAATCGTTTGTACTTACTCAACATCTGCAAGCAGAACATCACGAGGAAACCAAAGAGGATCGAGAAGTATTGTCTGAGTCCGGTGTGATGTTCTTGCAAGATCTCGAAGAACACCACGAACAGCAAAGTACCCGATGCTAATCCCTGAGATAAAGAAAAAAAAAGCGATAAGAGTATTTTTTTCTGCGTACCGTGTGTTTGCTGTTCGACCAGTCCACAAATTTACGCGGAATTCCCCGATTCTTTGAATATGAAGAGCTTCTTCGACACGCCGACACGTATTACCGTCATCGATTATCTCATCGTAATTTTTTATTTCGTAAAACCGGTATCTCCCCTAAAAGAGATGGAGAAATGCTTGCCTGTAGTATCACTGCCATTGGTCCACTTGTAGCCGCGCTTCCGCCGCCAACGAGAGCCATCCCGATGCCAATTCCTAGCGGCGACACCACGGCGAATGTACATGTGTAAATCACGGACAGGTACGGCCTGGTTCTGGACGCGATCAGTTCTACTCCGATGCAGAAGGCAATGACGAATTTATGGGACGCCACCGCAAGGAACATATACCTACGGACGAATCGTACCATCTGTCATACCACTCCTTCGTTTTGCGAGAGCGGTTTAACCTGGCAGATTATTACATATTAAAGATGTAGCGCGATTACTAAGATGAGATTTATTAGTCATCAACTAATCTACAAAGTTAAAATTATTAATCTAAGCTTAATAATATTAATGATATTTTTAGAATGAGATATTTTTAGAAAATTTAATTAAATTTGATTCTTGAATCTAAATTATAAAATTTCAAGAAAAACACACAGAAGTCGAAGTAATGATATTATAAGGATCAACATGATCTTATTTGTCATTTTATAAATTTATTTTTAAGTATCAAATAATATGATGATGATGATGTCATATGGTAAAAAAATATTTTGCTGCTCCAGCTAGAATTATTGCTGTTTCGTATCTGATAAAAAATTATCATACGCATAGAATTTATAGCACAAATCTAAATTCTATCTCTGTCATCTTTAGATTAGATGTAATACATATCCAATATCGCAATACTTGCTAGAAATTTATCTATTTTAGCTCATTTTTCGTACTTATATCATTTTCATTATAACTGCAAGATTTTTTTGAGTGTATCATTATGACTTAATTATGACTTGTGTTCTACTTGAGATTAATCCAAAATTATATTGAAATTTTCTTTCATTACAATCTCAGAGCATACATAGAGCCATTGTAATAATAATACTACATTATAATAATACTACATTTATAGCAAATGGGGTTTGACAATCCGCCGTTGTAACCGTTTTTTAAAGCACGAGCGCAGACGAGCACGATTCGAATTAGGGTTTGAATTAAGACGCATTCGCGATGCAATTACCAGACATGATTGGCGGAGCTCTCTAAACCAATCGCCAATCCCTCGAATAACTCGTGCACGGATAAGCC